TTAAAATAATATTTAATAATATATTTACTATAAAAATTATAAAAATTTAATATTTATATAATTTTTATAATTTTTTAAAAGTAATATTTTAAAAAAAATTATTTATTATTTTAATATTAAATAAAAAGTTTTTAAATTATTTAATTATTAATTTATTATTAATTTTTTATATTTAAAATTTATTAAATATTTAGTAAATTAATTAATAATATTAATAATTTTAATTAAAACTTAATTTTTATTTTTTAAAGTTTTTATAAAAATCAATTTTTTTTTAAATTAATACTTTAATATTTAAATAGATTTTTTATACTATTTTATACTTATTCATATTTTATATAGTTTTTGTATAAATATTATACTAAGTTTATATCTTATTAAATAGAGAATTTACTCTTAAGTTCTTTTAATTTTTTTTGACATTTATTCTTCTGTTAACCCAAAAAAAAATTCTAGAATTACACTCATTTCTCATAAATGTGAGCGAGAGGGAGGATTAGCTTTGAAATCTTCAATCAGCATTCAGACAACTAGACATTTCTCTTGTTCAGAGCTTAGTCTCTGCTGTTGCGGATGAAATTGTGGTCAGACTGGGCTTTTCCGCCAGTCAATCATTGTAGGATAGAGGTTGGCGAGCTGGGGATTTTCCCATTTGGGGCACGCTAGCCTCATTTAGACCTAGCTCATAAGTCGGGTATTACGCTTGCGCTCTCTCAATTTCATACGAATAATCTAGCTAATTAATTAATCAATTCGCTCGTACGCACTCAAACTATTACAAAATGATACAGCCAAGGTTTACTAGCACAGGAAAGAGGTGGCCGGAACTTGGACCCACACCCTTGTATGGAAACGCGAATACCCCATATGAAAAATGATGATGAGCATTGAGTCGGTTAAAACTTACCGCGTGCGCTGATACTTTGTAAGCCAATCCTTTCAAATGCAGGGGAGGACGGCTGATGAGTTGCACAAGGGATTATTGTGGGATGAAGTTGTTGCGTCTTTTGTGCAGGTTTGCATGAATAGCTCGGTGTACAAGATTGTGAGGTTGCATCTGTGCGGTGCTTTCGCTGTGTAAATGCGTAAACCATACATAACCTTGGAGTGATATGAGCGTGAGCGAAACTGCCCGTATCAGTTTCTGTCCAATTCCCTCCTACTCGAGCTGTGGGGTGCGGACGAACCGGACATCCGCCGCAAAGACAGAATTGGTTTGTCAGCCAGCTGCTCCGCAAGCTTTAACTATTGCATTAGCTTCACCCATGTCTAGCTCCTATTCGATGCGAAGATTGAAACACTTCAGTTCTTTCCCTTCAAATCACCCCACGCTGTTCTTTTTCTCCGCCCTTGGCGCGCCGAATATTCATGGTTTCATTATGACAACAACATTGGTAGCTGTCAAAACATTTACCTACCAAGAGAGCCTCGTTGATGGTGATCTTGTTAAGCCAGTCAAGTAACTTTGGAGGAACAAAAGAGCTCCCGCTGAATTACAGCCTGAATGACGGCGGATGGTTCACACACGAATTTGGCCCGCGTTCAAAACGCAAAATTCAAAACCCATTGTTGTTATCTGATCTGATGTTCCTTCAATTCGAGAGCGAATGACTGAGATACTGCACGTATTATTAGCGGCATTCAACGACTGGAGAATGGATTGTCCAGAGGTAACATAAGTGTACGGTAACAACTAGTGCTCCATCCCTTCCTCAAAGGGGGATGGGGGTACAGTAGGAGTTGAAATACCACTAAGCTGGGGCTTGAATCTTGAGTCTGAGGCCCGAGTCCCGAGTACCTTATCTTTAACGACTAGGATCGGTGGAAGCGGCAGCAGTTGTAAAGAGTCAATGGATGTTCTCGGAGTCCGTACGGAGTATTCCGAGGGTTTGAAAAGCAGAACTCAGCTCAGCTCAGCTCCGATGCTGCACTCATGATCTATCACGGAAGAAATTGTTCATTATGTTAGATTAAAGACAATGATAACGGCACGTGACCTTATCTGATCGCCGACAAACAAAAACAAACTCGGGCTTCCGCTTCAATCGCGTTGAGTATGGAAAGTATGGGACAATGAATATTCAATAGAGGCATTACTCACTACATGGCATCCAGTCTCCCAATAACTCTCCTCTGGATGTGTATATATAGGTAGTATAACTACACCAGATGGCCCGACGCGCAGCCGTTCGCGCCCCAACTGCTGCAAGCCTCCACGACAGTCTCCTTATTCCCTCCACAACCCTTTCGCTCGTAAAGACACTTGGAAGGCTATCCCGATCCTCGTTGCTCGACCTGGTCCTCCAATGGCTACATGACAAGAATGTCAAGTCATTTCCCCCGTACCTTGGCCCACACAGCGTGGCCAATTTCCAAGTGCACGAGGAAGAGTTCAACTCCTACCCTCCAGCCAACTCTGTTGAGGAATTGAGGGGTATATATGAGGATCTTCGGGACCGAAAGGGCGGGAAGAGGGAAGTGATTGACCGCATACTTGAGGGGGATTGGAGACATGGTATATCGCTCCGTCAGCTTGCTATGGTGGACATGCGATATATTGAGGATCACCCTGTCGGACAACGATGGACAGCCCTGCAATTAGTCCCCGTCAATGCTGAATCTCCTCAGTCAATACCAGGTGGAGATATTTCAACATCTCTCCCCCAATTCCACGCGTCGACGTTCCTCAGATCCATACAGCGCGAAATATCCCCGCTAGTAAAAGCTCATTACCATCTATACCGTTCAAAGACACTTCCATTGACATTCGTGCGCATTTTCGTCATCGACTCCCCATACCAACGACCACGACAGTCCCCATATGTCTTCACGGACTCGTCGAGAATAATATATCTCGCGTTCCCTGATAGTACTCCGTATATATATTCTTCCCATCTCTCCTACTCATCCCTTGCGGACACCAAGACTCCTTCCGCGACATTATCTAATACCTTGACTACGGATACACGCACCCTTCGCAGATTCGTCAAGGATGCGATACCAAATGCACTCTCTCGACCCCAGCAACGGTATAACCTCAAACCAACTTCCCTGACCTCCAAGAGCCTTCACACCCTTCTCTCCCTGCGTGGGCCAGGTAGAACGAACGCTGCCAACGGCGCATTTACCGTCTTTGCCGATGCGGTGATTGAGGGCCGTCCGCTTGATCCACGTCTGCCGCAATCTCTTGCTCCAGGAAACTATGACAATGTCCAAGAATACGCTGAAAGCAGGAAGGAAAATATACCGTTTCCACAGCTTGGTAAATTGGATAATGCACATACTCCCCCCGGAAAGAAAAAGACACCATTCCAAGAATCAACAACAACAGATCCAGAGGCCGAACAGATAGCAAAGAAGAGGAAATTGGCTGTCAATTCTCGATTCGGGACCGCTGGTAAACAACAAATGACAATACTCCCCATCCCCCAAATTACGAAACCAAATAGCGAACCTCAAATACCTGTTTCTGTCCTACTCCCAGTCCCAGCTCTTGACCGTCTAGAAATTCATCTCCAAGATCCTCCCGTCCCTTCCAACTCGCATGACGAGGATGGCGAAGGAGACGACGAGGAAGACGGCGGCATTGAGGATAAGCCGTCAACCCTCTCTCTGACCTTTTCTGGTTCCAATGTCATCGCCGGCCTCCGTCAACTGGCGGAGCTAGACGTGGTTGACCCCGCGCGAATGCCGAGTTGGATGACGGGTGAGGACGCTGTGAGCGTGGCGGTTGTGAAGGCGGGTAGGAGGTGTAGGAGTAGGGAAGGGGGTTAGGGGTATTTTGAGGGGTGGGGTTTTGTGAACTATAAAACTGTACAATATGGGTTGCCTTTTCTCTTTAATTTTGGGGGTTGGCAATATGATTCCTATGCCCGGAGTCTGGTTGGGGATGGGTTTTCTAATTACAAGTGGGTGCGGGGTGATATTTTTATGTTTGTTTTTAAGACTTATTTATTGAGGAGTTTTTTTTTACGGGCGTGGGGAAGGGTTTATATATGTCCTTAACTTTGCGAAGGACGGCTTTGATTGGCACTGAGGATCGCACTTGTAATACTTAAGGTGATCAAAACTTATTACAGGTATGTCTTTGTGTATAAGAACTTTGAACATTGTTTGTGAAACGGTCGATATTGAGAAGAGCTCAGGTATGTTCTCCTTATAATGTGGCAAGAATAGAGCCAGTTTGATATTCATAGCCTTTGGCCATCATTTTCTTCACGGGTCGTGGTGTGGATCCTGCCAGATGATGGCGTGGCAGATCTTTGCATGTATCGTCTTAGTAGTCGTCGTCATAGTTGTAATCGTAGTTTTAGTTGTAGTTGGATGAATAGCGCCGTCGGCGAGACCAGTGATATGACGGATAATAATCTAACAAAGCATAGACTAGTCAGAATATCTATTCAACAGATAAACTGTAGGGCAAGAGATGAAACCAATATTTATAAAAAAAGTGGCAAAAGAACGAGAAGAGTATTCATACCCCGAACACCCGACAATCCAACTTGCCGAGCCACATTGACATATCCCTCGTCGTTGACTGTGCCTTGGCTTAAAAGCTGCTCTAATGAAGTATCAGCTGCCCACGCGGAGCGGCTGGAGGTTCGGAACAAGGAATCGTCAGATAGGCTGCGGACAAGCTTGAACAGTCCTTGGAAGGTAAACCCGTAACATACCAATAAACGCAGCGAACTCCATTGCCCTGCTGAGTCGCTGCCCACTTCTCGAAACAAGACTTGTGAATATTGTTTCCGCACGCAGCTTTACACCAAACGACCTCCTCAGTCGAGTGCTCAAATTCCATAAAACAGATTGGACAATCTCCATCGACTGGTTTTCTTTTGCCAGGCTTATTTTCCCCTGACGAGTTGTCTTGAGGGTTCAGTGGAGCATTCGCAAAAATCACACGGAGTTCCTTGGATGATTCGAAGTTAGAGATGGTTAATAAATTCCCCCCTCGAAGACCTTAGATCGACCGATTTCTCACCGATGATAGGAATGCCCTTTGATATGCAAGGTAACCTGTCATTTTAAGGACATTGCATAGGACCTGTAGTTCCAATTAGACGAGTCCCTGTTATCTAATAGGAAATAATATACAAATTCGCCAGTGAAAGCGTACATAAATTATATGCTTGCATTGGTTTCCCTTCTCCGCGTCAGGACACGTACACGAAGGCTCCAAGGCGATCTCGACTTGATAGATGTTACCGGTTGTCCCTACAATATGGACCCTCTCCGTAGGCACATCTTCCGTTGCTTCTCTCGTGCGACTAACGACAAACATCCTGGCAAGATAGATATCGTTAGAAAACAATACCACGATGCGCACGCTGCAGACATGCCAAAATATGCCACGTACCTCTGCGTCCTCGCTCTCTCTAGCTTCTGCAAATAGCTCTGGGGTGCATGGTTTCGGAACATGCGTAGCCTGCGCTCCTCTTTCTCAACCACGGGGGATTTTTCAACCTTCTTCCGCTTGTTGGGGTTTGGAGGTTGAGCTTGAGGGGTGGTGCCTCGACATGTTAAATCGATGACGGGCCTATTCCCACTCGCGATTGCATTTTGGACTTGCTTCCGTCTCACTGAACGTGGTGTAGGAGATGCATACTCATCGTCTTGGGTCTCCTCATGGCGGCGTTTCCTACCAGACCTCTGCTGAGTACTAGGAGCTCGGGATATAGCAGCGTATAGTGGCTGGCATCCGGGGTTGCTTGCCATATTGTTGGGTGTGGTCATTGAGGGGAAGAAGTCAGAGTCCGAATCTCGTTAAGTTAAAACTCGGAAGCTTTTATGCAGAATTGTGATTCAAAGGTTTTAGGAGAGTGTCTGGTTTTGATAGAACTATACGGAGTGGATGTATAACTAGTTGAATAGTTCAACATTTACGGATGTTAGTTAACTACCCTTAAAATTTGATAATGACACAACCCCTCAAAATTCAACTTGGTCAGAGTCTAGCATGCTTTTGTTCTGCACATGCGCAAACTTATGTAACAAAATAAAGCTCAATTCGAAAATTCAAATAAATAGCAGTTCTCCTATTATTTTCTTGAAGATCATTCCTGGCTATAGCCTTCAGAATATAGAAGCTAGCTGAGTAGAGTTGAATGTAGGGATCTCGTAGACCTGCTGATATTTTTGTTTGACTGCTGCGACCGATTAAGATTGAAATGATTCCATGCTTTGGCTATGTAAAAACGTCGAAACCCACTCCTGATCTTCTGGCTTATATAGCATATTTTGATTTTAAGCATGGGTAAGCTCCATTTGAGCATCCTTCTCCGTTCCTTTCAGAAAACCCATGATCAACGGCCACTTACCGCCACTTGTAGGTATTTGTATATAACAAGAAGCACTTCCCCATTTCATAAGACCTTACTGGGAGACCGGTTTCTTCACCGACGGGGTGGTGTCAGCGGCTGGGAGGCCGGTGGAGGAGGAGCAGAAGCAGCAGCAGGAGCAGCAGATGTATCGAATCACTCTTTTCCGCACCTCATGCATTCCCCGTCAAAAGCCCGGTTTGGAAGATACCGGCGTTTGCTCGTCAAGAGGACACGGCTCAAGAAGTTCCGTTATCCGGACAACCTTGTGTTTTCAGAAATTATATATTGGTCATTTGGGGAGTTGAGAAACACCCTCATCCCGGCACACTCCTACTGTGTCAACCACTTTAGCAGTATCCATGCGTCTGTGTAGTATGCAAACTCATCGATGAAATGCCGATTGCTGACTGTTGTTAGAAATTGAAGAAACCCTTGACCTATTTCTTCTCATTGGCGCGGTCATTAAAATAATATTAATTTAGAAAAACAAAGCTCAATCCACTGAAGCACACAGATTAAAACACAAGTGTCCTGGAGGTGGGTAATTGGAGTATTTTCTTCCCTATATTTCCCCACTCCCAGTTCGTTCGGGGTGGCCTGGCTCCCCGACCGGGCCCTGACCAATAAAAAGAAAATCATTTCAGTGTAGAGTTCTTTGAGATGGCTGCAAAACTATGCATGTTGTGGTTACAGCCCATAGTTTCAGCAAATCCTTGTGAAAATTCAGATTATTTAACTTGCTCAGGGTTTAGTTATGTTTTAACGATTTACTGAAATATTTCAAAAAGCCAAGACCATACATAGTTTTCGTAGTTTGTAGGGTCAGCGGCGGGGACCAACGTTACCTCCGCTGCTCTGTCTGAACATCCGTAGGTAACCAACAACCTCCGCCCAACAACTGGTAGAGCTTGATGGTTAATGTGCAAAATAGTTATCTGGTGGTTTCTTTGATCTTACCTCTTAATCCAGAATCTATTTCCCAGGCCGATTGGCATGAATACTCCGCATGGCTCGCCCTCGCGCTCTCTCCGGGGCTGATATGGCCAAGGAGCCCCATTCAGTTTCATTAAAAGGTGTGTGCATACATGCACTTTGATTATGCATGCTTGTCGGGTTTGCGCAATTACTGGCTGATATGATAACCTAGTTCTACGGTGAGGTCTTTTGGCCCTGTCCTGTGCAACCAAAACAGCCATTTTCTCGATGCTTATACCACCTCCATTCCCAATTCAAACAGACTGTCACGACCATCCCTATCCTTCCAATATCCACTTCCAAGTGAAAACGAAAATATCCCCGTCAAAGCCTCGCTCAGTTTCCCATCCGATAGTTCAGACAATCAATTCATCCTCAGCCCAAATGTAAGCTGCACAATGCTGCGATATCTTGTCTATTCAGAACCTCCAACCCTAATATCAGATTAAAGGTCACCCTCCCTCCAGCATTCGGCTCTGCCTACGTCGGCGAAACGTTCTCCTGCTCATTATGTGCAAATAGTGAGCTTCTTCCCGACTCCGAAAACCGGATCGTCAGCTCCGTTCGCATCATTGCAGAAATGCAAACACCCTCTCAGAACGTCGTGTTGGAGCTCTTCCCTTCCGGAGAAGATTCGAATTCTGGCGGGTTAACAAAATCACAATCGTTGCAGAAGATAGTCCGGTTTGATTTGAAGGAGGAAGGAAACCATGTTCTTGCTGTCAGTGTCAGTTATACGGAAACGATCATGGCGCAGGCTAGGGAAATGCCAAGTAGTGGCGACACACAGGCAGCAAGTTGGCGAGTACGGACGTTCCGGAAACTCTACCAATTCATTGCCCAGCCATGTTTGAATGTGCGGACAAAGGTGACGGAACTGGCCCCTCTCGAAGCGGATAATAGGGCTTTTGATCCTTATGGAAAGACACGGTTGCTGAGATACGTGCTTGAGGCCCAGCTGGAGAACATTGGAGACGGTGCGATATCTCTTGGAGTATGTTTTCATAACGTTCTGTTTTACCCATATTTAACTCCGTTCTTTCCATACATACTTCCTTTTCAATATCAGTTAACGGTTTGCACGTTTAGTCCACCACACTCAATCCAAAACCACCCTTCCAGTCAAGGTCGCTGAACTGGGACTTGGAACAGCCCAATTCCTTGGAAATGCGTCCACTCACCCTAAGCCCCCGCGATGTTCTCCAGGTTGCTTTTCTTGTAGAACGGGAGCCAGGACAACAAGAAGGCCTTGAAGGCTTGCAGAAGGATATGAGTCGGGATGGGCGGACAACCCTTGGACAGCTATCTATTGAATGGCGAGGTAGTATGGGGGATAGAGGATTTTTAACCACCGGAAATTTAATGACGAAGAGACGGTGATTTCATCATATTGATAGGAATATTCAACGGAATAGAACATACGCGAGCGGATATACCGCCGAAGCTATCCATTGTTTGTTTGTATCTCTATTGACAGAACGTCGCTGTGTTTCGTGGACCAGATTTCATGGCGATTTTTTGGAGTTAGAGAACCCGAGGAGTCAGTTCTTATATTGCTGAGCACAGCCTGGCGATGCATTGAGAATTTTAATCTATCGTTTACTCCGCATTTCGGGTTTCAACTATTGCTTGTCATCCCGTCTGGAAAAGTCATGAACCCGGTACGATTTATGTAACAGCTTCTCTCGTTGGGTTAGGTGTTCCGAAACCGGATGACCTGCTATTTGGTCGCTTCTCCAGATAATAGTCAATGCCGAATATTCCTATCTCGGCATCTCAAGCAGCAGGGCCGAATGAGCAAATGCCACAACCCGGGTTGACGGCTTCGATGATATTCATAGACGGCAATGGTTCTAACTCTAGGCGATATTTTATCTTCAGTCACGATATGCAAATTCTCAGCCGAACATGTTACCATGCCTTCTTAATTTTATTTACATTACGGAGCATTTCTAGCCCTACGATCTCTCTACGGCACAATATTTTCTCGCTGATCGACAAGAGTAACTTAGATAAATTTTAAACTAATCAAATGACCTCAGGACTGGCCTCCAACTGAATCTTTTTGAGTTCTCTCCACAGCGGGGAGATTCAGGGGGATTTATCGCAGCCATTACCAGCCACCACAAGCAGCTCCAAGCCTCTAACTGGGAATAGTGGATGGAGATCGCAGATTTTTGAGATCACGCAAGCGCAAGTCTGAGACATTTTCAAGCTTCTGCGATCATAATTAATTAGCATCTAGTCACTCCCCGCTCAGTCGATTCCTATTGCAATGCAGATCCATCACCTAACTATCGTGGATGGACGCGGTTTGTCCGCAGCTAAGGACTTTTGTTTTCAGGAGTGCTGTGTCCCACTGCTACTTTTGAGAAGGCTGCTGAGAAGCCAGATGCTGCAAAGAAAATCTATTTATTAAGGATGTTATTAAATAAATGTCTGAGGTCATTCCTTTACTATAAGATTTTGACATGCATTTTCATATCTCACGCGGATGGTGTCCCGTCCCCCAGTACGGCAACATGAAAATAAATAACCGGGTCCTGTTCCTCACAAACTGCGAGTCCGGCCTGGCAAACGTTCATTTGGCAACTGCCCACTCTATTCTGACAAGTTATCCAGACATCGAAGTCCACTTCGTATCTTTCCCCAGAATCGCGCCGTTCGTGGAGAATGTCAATAAATATGCGACACGGCAGTCCCCATCAACCGGCCTTAACAATGTCAATCATATAATTCTCCATGAGCTTTCCGGTCCATCATACGGGAAAGCTCTCGTTTCAGGGTGGACGAAAACCCATGACGATGTGATACATGGTCCGGGGCTCTCGGGCTTGTCACATTTGACTCGGTTTGTGGAGAGAGCTGCTGTACCCTGGAATGGGTCTGAATATGTCGGGCTGTACCGTGAAATTTTTCAGTTGATTAACGAGATAGACCCAGCCGTCACCGTTATTGACACGCTTTTTGCTCCTGGCGCGGATGCTGTCACGTCTTTGACACGGAAATATATTCTTATGTCCGCGAATGCTTTGTCGGACAATTTTGCAGGGAGTCAGCCTAGAGCTGCAATGCTTTGGAAGTTTCCCGCGTGAGAAATACCTGATCCTCTTTCCCCTCTTCACAACTTTTGCTTTTAGTACAAAACTTATGGAAGATTCCCCAATTGTTGTAAATGGTACTGAGAAGCTATTAAAACCATGTAGATTTTCCTCAGGTTACCCCTTTCCCGTTCCATGGTATCTCATTCCAGCAAATATCCTCTACAACCTTCGGCTCTTGAAAACTATAGCGTTCGGACCTCTGCAGCGGGAATTGACTGCCCATACCAAAAGCCAAGGTCTTGGTAAACCTCGAGATGTCTTCAACATATATGACAAAAACGTCCCATGGCTTAGCCCGTCCCTGGTGGAGAGTGACTACCCACTTGTAATTCCATCAAACGTAACTCCATGCGGACCTATATTCCTTTCTCTGGGCTCGATACCTGAAAGGGACCCTGAATTGGCAGCATGGCTAGAACGCGCACCCACCGTTCTAGTAAATCTTGGTAGCATGACCACATACAGCCAAACGGATGCCGAGGAGATGGTTGGCGCCATCCGGATTCTCCTTGACAACACCGGAGTGCAGGTGCTGTGGAAATTTTTTAAACGACACGAGTACGGTGACGACTTTTTAATGCCTCTTGCTGACGATCTAGCTTCGGGCCGTGTGAGGATTGAAGGGTGGATTAGCGTAGAGCCAGCATCTTTATTGGAAAGCGGGCATATAGTGCTTTCGGTCCATCATGGTGGATCGAACTCATTCCATGAGGCTATTGGGTAAGTTACATACACCTCTCTCTTCTCTGCATCCATGGCCCTTCATATTTGGGTATTTTCTGCATGTACTGCACGTTCCTGGCTAATTGAGATCAAGTACTGGAATACCACAGATAGCTTTGCCTTTATGGGTTGATTGCTATGGGTATGCGGTTCGGGCTGAGTGGCTGGAAGTAGGGATTTGGGGGAGCCGCAAGACGGCTCCAAGCTGGACAGCGAAAGAGCTGGGCCAGGCGTTTTTGACTGCAGTCGGTGATAGTGCAGAAGCCAAATTCATGGCCGAGAAGGCAAGGAAGCTGGGTGAATTGGCGAAAAAAGCGCCTGGTCGTGTGGTGGCTGCGAGAAAGATCGTCGAGTACATGAAAATGAAGCTAGGAGAGAATGAAGAGAGTGAGGTTCCTTCACATAACGGGACTGGCCATGTTGTAAAGGAACTGTAGGCAATTATTATCCTGCCTCCATTTGATATCTGCTAATATAGAAAAATAGATTACTAATAATTAATGTAGCAACTACAAATTATAGAGAGAGGTGTTCTTAAGATCTTGTGCTCATTCATGATTCATGAAAGATCAAGCTCTTTATGCAAGTTCTTCGTGGCCATTTGAGAAGAACATACTCAATATGCGCTTTTCGTATGGGCATCTCTATCAGGCGTCCTGTATGTAATGCACATGCTCACCTTGCCTACCTCAACATTTGATAAATCAGAGAACTGATTGGGTTTCTATGGACCGTGAATCGAATATGGAACCGCTGTCTAGCTAAATCTTTGTTGCACTTGGGCAAATTCTGAGTGCATCTGACTAGAAGCCCATCAGCATATTGGCAGCATCCGCTTTGCTTGTAGTGGTGCTAGTCCAATTAATGTCGTCAAATCGAGGGGACAATATTTGAATGTTAGGAGGTTGCAGTTTGAATCCTTCCAGTTCCGAAATACTTAGGCATAGCCCCAATCACGGAGAGATGGAGGTTCAGCCCCAGGGCTTACAGGGCGCAGCGACTTGTCAAGCTATATATATATATGTCATAATTGCAATCCAGATGATAATTTCCCTCAACCATTGGGGCCTTCGATGATGGATATTGGCACACCAAGAACTTCCTGCGACGACAGTTGCTGTAACTAAAAGATCTCGGCTGCTTTGGTAAAGGACGGAAAATGCTGCCGCCAACAACCCTGGGAGCAATTTCAAGAAAACGCTTTGAAACAGGATTCTTCCTGAATAAACCACGTTCCTTCTTGCATTGCGGGAGATAGAGGTACATATACTCGCGCCACGCCCTTACTGAAGTTGTATGGGTTTTGGCAAACCCTTTGTCGTTACCTCTCGCTGAAGATACCACTCAGCTAGATGTTTCCCATGAAGGAGGTCAAACATGTTATACCCTCTCATCATGCTATTCGAAAATAGATGTTAGAAATAATGGTCCTTGACATAAACCCTGCGGACATAGCCCCTAACAGTAAATCCGCTTGAATTCCAAATTTATTAGTGCAAAGCGACGATGAAGGCTACCCTGCCTAGCAAGGGGGTTAGGCGAGGACAGGGAGGAGGACAAAAGGCAGGCAGGGAAGGGGAAAAAGATATGTTGGGAGCACGGAAGATTAGAAGCTTTCTGCTTCTAGAACATTTCATCCTGATATTATTCAGGATTATATGACATGAACCAGCTGGTTTCGGAACATGGGGGTTTGGAAGGCACTCTATCTCAGGATAGTGCTGTCCCACGAACTATACTCATAGAATAGATTGAATTCCTGTCGAGAAATATTGTCCATCAGTGAGATGCGGGGACATATGGAGCTGTTAAGTTTAGTTTGCTGCTTGGGAGTAATACTCCCACGATGAGTTGGGATGAGATGCTGAGTCTCACAGGGTTTGTCAGCCTCCCATTTACGCTTGTGATTTAATGAGGTGAGAATATAGTTATTCAACCAATTGATGATTCCATCCATCCATACATAGTTACATCTAAAGTTCTGGAAACCTTACTATTGCACCAAATCTTAAAGTAGCACACAGGACATCCCGGTATTACAAACTCCTAGTTAACTGGTTAGTTAACTTAGTTTGGTTTATTTTATGTCAACCAAACACTCACAAGAAGTCGTTATATAGGGTGTACAGTTGAAGATGGCTTTAAAAGAGTTGAATGTGATTCAGGCCACAAATCATGATACCTCCTCATTAAAACTACATACACTAGACATATCTCAACATATATCTCGCCTCATCTCTATTTGCTCTTGATAATAGTGATTTTTATCATATTTCTCAGACTCTTATCATTATCTTTAAATTCTCTTAATATATCTCTAACTTTGATGTTCAGGAAAAGTGAGCTTTATTTTTAAATTATATTAAATTTTTAAAATTTATGTTCAATTATAACTACTATATAATAAATTAATATGAGAAAATTTGCTAATTACTTAAAAGATCTTGTAATAACTTATAAAATTCTGCAATGTAAATTTCAATCTGAAGTTTATTAATAGTATTCATTATATTTGATAAGAGTTAAATAATATGAGTTAATATGAGATAACTA